CACTTAGGTTGCCGTTATTCATACCACTTGGGAATCATTATCCTCTCTGATACAGAAGTCCAAAAAGTATTCCAGTTCAGGAAACCATGCCATCATATTTATAGGGGGAACAAACTATTTAGAATGTATATATATTCTAATATATCTTACCTATGTGCTGTCTGTAACACCTCCAAATTGCTACTTTTAGGTGTACATATTCTATTCTATTACATAGCTGAGTTGCTGTTAATTTTGATCACATTTTCAAGTCACAGTGTGTGGTAGCATTATTGAATATGGTATGATGGGGTTAACTTTGTCCCATGTAGGGGATTGGGTTTTTTTATCTGGTCTGGTTTGTAATGTCAACTGTAAGGATAAAAATAGGTCAACATAACTACAATAACATTGCATTGAAGTAGTTAGAATGAGCAGCCAGGGTCAGAGGCAGTGTGCATTAAGCCAGTACTACGCTGCATTGTGCTGTTTGGTTAGCCATTTAACAGTTGTGGAAGCTGACTGCTTGTAATGAGTTTTCAGTCAGGAAGTTAACAATTGGACTTCTACTCATGCCTGTTCTCTTGCTGTCCTCACAGTTTGTCATGGTTCACAGGTGCCATGTAGCAGGAGTGATGGTCACAGAATTGCAGACAAGCACCTGTACTGTAGCAGTGAATAGGCTAAAAAGAAATCCTTTGGAGAAGGAAGTACAATGTCTGTATTTGCAGTTTTGCCACAGTCTTCCTGTGTGTCTCAGAGAGGGGCACATAGCCTTCTAGTGTCTGTGTGCTTTAGCCTGTGCTGTGGGAACACGTGTTATTTCACAGATTTAGAAGTTAATTCCTCATTGATTCTGTCTCAGAGTAGTCTGCTTTATTTATCAAGGCTTTGGCTTTTAGTCTGCATGTTGGGCACACTAAGCCTACAGCTTTGATTTAACAAGTTATGCTGAAATAAAATCATGTAGGGTTTCTATGAGTAGTGCAATTTACACCCAGTGTGCATATCAGAGAGAATGTGGACCTTTCCAACCTGTGCAACCTTGTTAATAAAGATACAGTGACTGCAGTTGACCTCTTGTGAAAAGTAGATCCATTTGTGTTTTTATTCTGTGGCCTGAATAGAAGATATAACAGAATGGGCACTGTTCACTTGACGTGGGAATTCTCCCTTGCTCTGACTCATGTAGAGCAGTAGGGAGGGGGAGGAAAATGAGCTCCAAAAACCTGGTATCCAGTTTTATAATTTACAAAATCTTTTTGATCTCAGCTTTGTACATCTAATATTCCAGAGGGTATTTAGAAGTTTGATAAAAGTCTGTGGTAGTGCTGGAGAAAGATAAGGCTCACTATTGTACTAAAACAGGGTTGTGGTGCCAAGACAGTATATTTATGCTTTTCTGTTGCAAGACTAACAGTGCCCATCAAACTTTGTATAATTTGGTATTATGCAGAGTAAAGATAAAAATACCCACTTGTTCTCTAAGTTGCAATACAAAATACTTTAAGCTTAATACTCAACTATATTGTAAACCAGTCCATTAACATAATATAGTGCTTCACAGTAGCTGGGAGAAATAGAGTGTGGTGAAATTACTGATGTGGTGGGGGCCAAGATTTTTTTGTGGAGAATAAAAAGATCCTTACTTTTTTCCCCATTATAATCAACTGTTATTTTGTCCATATGTTTTCTGATGTGTCTTGCAGTGTTTCATGATAGGCTTTCAAAGCTGGATGAAATTTTCTGTTCCAGCATTGTGGTCAGTCAGTTTTTAGCATGCATAAAGGAACCAGTGTTCCTACATTTTTCTTTGAGCCTGTGAAGTCAGAGTTGCAAGGAATAGAACAAAGCCTCAGAAAAGATATAACAGGAGCCTTTGGGAGCTAATGGGGAATTGCAAACTCTTTGTTTATTGCACCTGGCACTTTCTCAAAATCTGCTTCATAAGGGCCAGACCAATCATTTACTCAAGCAGATAAGGAGGGTCCTTTCTCTCCCTGAGTCAAAGCTCTGTAAGTTTGTAAATAAGACAGTAAAAATGTATCTTTTAAGAGTATTTTCTAGAAGGATTATAGCTAATATATTGCAAACTTTTTTCTCAGGCAACCTGAACTTCAGGACTAGTTAAAATGGTTAAGTTAAAAAGAAGCATGGACTTCAAAACCACCTGCAATCACAACAGCTATAGCAATGTGTATTTTGCCTGAATTGTTTGGAATGAGATTTTTAAAGCATTCTAAACAGACAATAAATGGTGGGGGGGGGGGGGGGGGGGGGGGGGCTGTGGTGGAAATAGCCTGCCCCCGTTTTCAAGAGCCTTCTGGTGTTTTTGAGACCCATGGCAGGAGCTCTGGGGAGCTTACCTCTGTTGGTGCCCCGTGAGAGAGGAAATATAAGGAAATGTGTCCCCTGCATCTCCCAGGTTGTTTCGAAGCAATGAGTCAGGACCATTTTTTCACAAGTTTCTCAATATGCATGTTTTTTTATTTCTACTGTTGATATAATTCCATGGATCTTGTTTGATAGACATAGTCACATAGTCACAAGTGTCAATCTGTCAGATAAGGCCCAGGAGCTAACCAGACCTTCTGTTTCTTATCCGTCTTTTGTTAAACCTTCATTCTTCTGAATTAATCCAGAAGATGTAAATATGGAAATAATTCTCTATAATCCTCTTCTTAAAGGCAGTCTTTCTGAGATCTGGACAATGCAGAGCAACTGTGTTAATCTTCCATCAGGCAAAGGGAAGCAATTCTCTAGAGCAGAATCCATTGACTGATTGTTCAAATTTAAGCTCTATTTTCCAGTGTTTTGAATTCATGTTTCCATCATGTATTGAAATAAGATTTTTTAATACAGTTAGACTGAGTAACTGTTTAATTACTATTCATATTTTATATCGTAATTTAATGCAAAAGTCAAAGCACTTTAGCTGTTGTATAGTAAACTGTAACTAACACCAAAGCAATGGAGTTGAAATGAAGGGTTCTAACTTCACCCAAGCAAGTGTGTGTATTTAATGAAAGTGAAATGTTTTAAGTGTATTCCCTTAGAAAAATTTCCCTTAAGAAAATACTGGTTTTATAAAAGCATTGAAATTCTAATTATTTCTCTGTTTTCTGGGAGAATGTTTGCTTTCTTGGCAGTTTTGAATTAAGCTTTCTGTGGGACATCACTCTGAACACATGAATGCTATAATACTGATTTGAGTAGGAATGACTCAGATGACTTCTAATGCAAAACATGAATGACCTGAAATTTCTTGATGGGAAATCTAACGTGATGGAACAGACTTCAAAGTCTCCTGTGAGAAATATGCTAGAAGCAAAACATCTTTAAGTACACTGTAGGGGAAAAAAATGGAAGCTTTTTGTGGAAATGTACTATTTCATGTCTGCGACTTAATTTTGTTTTATTTCAACCTGAAATGAAAGCTTTATTCTTCAAGGGCAATAATGGCATGTTTTTGTAACTCCTTAGCTTTCAACAATAGTGTATAATATTTTGGTTCACCATTGTGTTAAAACTGTGTTTTTCTGACTGCTGTGGCATAATGATTTATTAGTGTTGACACTCTAGGGTTGTTTGTCAAAAGCTCAGCTTTTGCTCCTTCTGGCAGATTACATACAAATTATGTAAATCACTATAATGCTGGTTTTTAACCTAATTATGTTATACATCATGAACAATGGTAATTTTTGCAAGGGAAAGGCATCTGGAATTTTAGTTGTTAATATATTTTTTCTTCTTTTGGTATTCCACGAAAGAAGCACATTGAGAAGTGATCGCATGTGTGCAGGTTTTTTTGCTACAGCTAATGCTTCAGCTTATGCTGCTAAAATATGTGAAAGCTGATTTTATTTTTTTTAGAACTCTAACAATCTGTTTATACAAATTAGCAGTAAGCTGTAATTTCACTTACAGAATTTCACAGAGGACTAGAAAAATATTATTTCATTGTTTTTGTATATAGATACAGGCATGTCTATGCATTTTATGCAATTGGTCTGCTCAAATAAATACTGGATTAACAACAGTGATCAGACTTCTGTGTTCACACACAGAGACAGGCTTTCCATCTGTAATATTACAAACTGAAATACAGCTCAAGTCAATGCAGACAAAGTTCAAATAATTAAGAAATTAGCCTGAGCCGTACAGAGTGCACAGCCTAAGGAGACCCCTCCTAGCCTAGCCCCAGCTGCCTTCCTTGCCAGCTGTGCTTAGCAAAGCAGAAGGACCAAACTATCCCAGATGGGTCAGGGCTGAGGGGTGGTGGCAGGCCAGGACTGGGAGTTGGCTTTTGTCATATCTGAGGTTTGAAGGAAGACATCTGATTTCTGGCCTGTCAGCTCTTAATTTGCACACACATGTGCGCACTTGAGGTTTGTTTAAAAAATAGCCTTCATATCACCTAGGTCCCATTTGACTTCATTTGCTTGTCAGCAGGAGCTGAGAAATCTAGCTATATTTTTAAACTTCATGGTTCTTGCTAGGCACTGCTTATTAACTTGAAGATTTTACACAGAGTTTTACGTAACCTCTTGTAATGATCCAATAGAAGATAGGCAGTGTGACATGGTTCATTTGGGCTGCGTGTCCTTGGGTTGTATTGCTCACACCTTATTAGTCTTCAGCAAATGTTCCACTTTCCTTTAGTTTTGGCAAGCTGCTAGGAACACCATTTCCTTCTTTTCATTCTGGTGGAGTGCAATTGTTCTTTGCTTATACTACATTAGCCTTTCCCAGAATTTAGCCTGGAGTTTTTATACACCGGGGAGTTTCCAGTGTGTTTAGATTATAAAATGATTTCCTAATGTGACTGTGACAGAACCATGTTTTCAGATAACACTATCAAACTAGATTTCAGTGCCGTTTTTCTGTGTTCCTTTGTGGTATTTTGCTCTATAGAAATGATGTAAAAAATAATTTTGTCTCTTAGAAGTGATGTTTTTCAAATCATCCATCCAAGTAGTTAGGATTGTCCTAAAACTTTTTCTTGTTCTGCTTTCCTTTAGGTTTGTGTAAATCAATTGGCGTAAGCAATTTTCTTATCAGCCATCTTGAGCAACTAAAGGAGGACTGTGTGATTACTCCACATGTTAATCAGGTGACTGGATACATGTATTTAAAGTGTCTGGTTTGAGTTTTTACTTTGGTTTTTTTGGTTGGCAACCTCCTCCCCACTCCTATCCATGAAGGGTATTGCCTCAGTCATAAAATTTCTTTTTTTTCTTTCTTCTATTTGCGCGTTGAAAACCATTCAGGAAGATGACCCGAAGGATAGGGAAGTCCTTCCTCATATTTCCCCCAACCAGTTTCTCCCAGGCTACTTGTTTATATCTGGGTACACAGACACGAACAAATGGTCCCTGTGACAGTTTTTGGTGATCAAACAGTTTAGAAATAAAATTCAAGAATCACAGAACATTTAGCATCTTCAGAGTGAAGCAGTTTTTGGAGAGCCTGTGTTTGAATACTTTTGTGCTTCCTGTAAGCAACACTGAAAGAGTCAGTTAATTACATAGCCATGTAAGGGTGCCCTTCCCTTGCTCCCCCCTCATTTCCTAGTTCACATAAATTCAGTGAACTCCTGGTTTAGGCAGGTGCTGTGACAGCCCTGGCAGAATTTTTTTGCTGCCCTAGGCAGATCTGGGATGGCCACCTACGTACCGGCAGGCTGCCAGGACACTCGACAAATGTTCCCTTGTTGCAGGTTTCTGCCTACAGCTGTGCTGGAAGTTCATGCTCCCATTCCTTCCACCTCCTGCCAGATAGTGTATGTGTGCTGACATGGATGTGGGAACTGGAATGGATGGAGTGCAGGCACATGTTTTTCCCCTTTGTACAGGTGGTCAGGATTTCTGGTTTAATGTCATTAACAGCCATAAAAGTGTTGCTCAGAGTGTGACCGTCAGAACCAAACAACTTTGATTTTGGCTGTCCACTATACTAAAGGTTACAAAAGGGCAATTAATTAATGTTAAATAAACATAAACCCATATAAATTATTTAAGTCCAGTTATTCAAAATAAACCGTTGAAATATATGTTAAGGTGGACAGGTTGATACTGTTTAATAATTTGTGAATTTACCAAGGTTCAAGAAATACACTTCTACAAAGACTTACTAGAATTTGGCAGGAATTATTACTGCCTGTTAAATAATAGTAGCTTTTCAGTTTTCTACTAAATCACTGCAAGTTAAAAACAGTGATTTTGTTTTGAAATTTCTTCTTTCCCATGGTGTCAAAATGTTACCAATCTGACATTTTCAGTAGTGTTCATGGACACAAGCTGTTTCTTGCTGCTATTTGACAAAACTCTTTTTCTGAGGCTAAAAAGAGGAGACAAAAAGTTGAGGTGGTGGTGATACAGAGGGGTGGGAGAGGACCCCTGCTAATAATTTCTTTGAGATGCTATACAGCAGTTCTGAATTGGAAGCAAAAACCAACAATGAATTACCCATGCCATTGCCAAGTGCTTCACCTAAAGCAGTTTTGTTATAGCATTAATTTATTTTTTTAGAGTTAAAGGAATTTTATAAATCATACTTCAGCTTATTCTCAAAAAAATATATATTCTGTTTCTTGCTTCGTGTTGGAGAGTTACTGAGTCTGATGGTAAGATTACTTAAGTACCATCAAATACATAATTTCTAAATTCAAAATGGGAATGCTGTACTGAGTTCTTATTTCACTGTCCACAATTTATAATACAGGTTTTTTTGCACTATATTTATGCATAAAATGGTGTACTATTTCAATGGACTTACTAAATATAAAACATTTGCAAATAGTCATTAGATACAAAGTCTAAGTATTGAAGAAACAAGTGGAGGAAAATACTTCCCTTTTAGACTTCAGGGTGTTCTTACAATTACAACAGTCCCCTTATTATGTTAAAATTGAAAGTTGTTTTTTTCTGTGAAAGGGAGAAAGTAGGAAGGCAGAAGAAATAAGCAATACTTCTGCTTTACAAACCAAGTTTTAAATACTGCCTTTCTTGTCAGTTCCTGGGAAAAATCCAGGATCGTCACGTCTTTTAAAGAAGCAGGAGAGGCCGGTCTTTTCAAGAATATGGTATTGCTAAGTTATTTATTAATAAGCAAGCACTTTTTAAAATTTCAGTATGCTATTAAAAGTACTGGTAAACACTGTAAAATGATGGTACTTTATTCCAGCATCATCTAGAGTGAAACTTACAACCTAGAAGTTCCAGGTTTGTGTGCCAGAGTTTTGTAATGACTTGGCAGTAGGAAGTTTGGATTTGTGCTCAAAGAAATCTTTGAAGTCTCTCTGAAGGTTCATTGCCCTTTCACTCATTATGGGAAAAATATATTTTTAAGTACTTAATAAATACATATGTTTCATTTACTAAAGTGATGCACTGAACCCAAATATAAGCTGTTCCTCTATGAATTCCGTGTAGGAATGTTCATCAATATTTCTCCAGTCCTGGAGAAGTATGAATTACTATGTAATGACCTCAGAGCGACTTGGTTACATTATTGATACTGCCATTAATATTGAGCTCTATTGTGTAAATTTTTACAAGGTGGAAATGCATATGAGACATTAGAAAACAACCCCTTTTATATAAACTTACCTAAACTGTTCTTCTATATAGAAAATACTCATAGGCTTGTATTTCATTTTGATAAAGGGAAAAAAATTATAAGACAGCATTCCCATTGAGAAAATTACTGAATTCCAGATGTGCAGAAACTTTATCATGTGAAAAGGACCACAGCAGGGTGGAAAGAGTAAGGCCTCTGTGCATCATCATCTGAGGTAGGACTTTCTAGGGCCACGTGTCAGGGTTGTTATTAGGCTCAGCTCTTCCCCATTTGCTCTGACTATTGTAAAAACCCAGTGCTTTAGTTGGAGGTCCCCTGTGGCTGGACATGTAGCAGCTGTGAAGTCCTGTGATGTGAACTGCAAACTGTTGTATTAAAGAAATGCCAGTTTTTACATGCCAGTCAGTCAGGGTAGGGTGCCAGAAAAGATCAAGATCTTCCTCTGCCATCATGTGACAGACAGGCCTCGCCTGCTAAATGTCTGGTGACAAAAATAGCAAGGGTGGGGCAAGACAGGAAGCAAGAATTGTTATTGTGAGGGGAAGCATGTGTTGACCACTCACCTCATGCCTCTTGGATCAGGATCCTAGTGCCTTGCAGATACTGCTAGAACCTTCCAGAATGTTTTCATTTAAAAAATAAATTCAAAAGTGCTTATTTTATTTAATGCATTTGGTTATTTTAATAAGATATTTAAGAAGAAAAATACTTTCTTCTACCAACACAAAACTGCATGTGTTGAAATGGCAAAAATTCAATTCACAATATTTGGGAGTCTCTGGATTCAGTGAAAGGCAAAAAATATGATCTTTTCAGGTGGGAAGTAGTTGTTGCTATGTATTCTGCTTGTGAAGCATGCAGGTGATATCTCAACATACTGCTCTTGATTTAAACATCTCTGGTGTAACCTGAAACTGTGCTGCCTGGAGTCTTACTAGACCAGCAGGCAAATTCGACTTGCAGTTTAATTAATAATAAATGCTGAATAAGTCACATGATGCCATAGAAGCACTGCAGACATTTCAGCATTTGGTCCTAAATACATAATTTTTTATTTCATATTTTCTGAGCTACATTATTTGCTATACTTACTGTAACGAACATCTACTAGAATTGCTTATTACTCTTTTAATAATCCAGTAATACATCTGGCTTGCTCTTTCATATCTCCCCTTGTAGTTTTACATAGATACAATGAGAATATTTCGTATCCAGCTCAGGTGCAAACAAGTGAATAACTGTGTGACCTAAGGACTGCTCTTACACATACAAACATGAAATACAAAGGGTACTCAAAGGTCAAGAAACATCAAAGGTTGAAGACATGGATGTCTGCTGCTTGAACCTTGTTCCCGAGTCCACCTAGTAATTTAGATCATAGCAGCTTTAGGCTGACTCAGCCCAGCCTTCCAGGGGCATGGTTTTTTCTTAGCTCATGTTGAATGACTGCCAGCCTATTGTTCCTGACTATTGTTGTCTGAAAAGACAACATGTACTAAGGATGAGAAACAGGAAATATTCATTTGTCCTCTTCGTAGCAGAAGAAATTTTCCAGATTCCACGTATTGAGGTAATTGCTCAGAAGAGTATTTTTCTTCAAAATGCGTAAGAGTTCAATCCCTGGAACAATGCTGATGACCAGTCACAAAAGTGCATCACATGATTTTGTATTTTGTTAAAGAAAATACTATTCACTTTCATCTAAATGCAGAGTAATGTATGCTTCTTACAATGAATAGACTGTGAAATACATATTTAAATAACTTATTAAGGAACATCACAGAGTTTCTTTTCTGGTTTTAGCTACATGCCAGAATATGTCTCTCCTCTGAGATTATTACTGTCCAAGAACTTCTTTTTCCTTTTGCTCCCAACAACTGTGTCTTTGTAGCTTGTTACTTTTCCTCTTTTAACCGGTTCTTGGCAATTTGTGATCTTCCTTCCTACAAAGGATCTCCTTCACACATCAAGTCCACAATGTAATTGCTTCCCTGCACAACCTGATGGTGACACCACACAGAATACAGAATTTGCCATGTGCAATCCATGCCAACAGGCTTTGCTTCCAAGGTCATGTCCTCACCCTAAGAAAATTGTTCTGGCTGGTCGCTTGCAAACCCAGCCTCTGCTCAGCCCCCTCCCCTTGCTTGGGCAACTCAAAGATCATTAGAAAGAATAATTAGTAAAGAAGCAGGAAGAGACATAGATTTGGGGAAGAGAAAGTAGTCTCAAAGTACCAGTAAAAATGACCTGATGCTGGCTTCCACTGTGCATTTGTATATATTTCTTAAAAATAGAGCAGTAGTGAAAGTCCAGCTGCAGGTCAGGCAGAGAACTGCACCTTGTTTCTGAGGGAAACATAAAATACAGTTAACTTTTGTGCCAATTACTGGTAAAATATGTGATTAATACCCTTCATGTATCTTCTAAAACTAATACCTTACATCTACTGCCCAGAAGCAATGACTTCACTCATGTTCTATTTTTAAAACAGGAGAGAAATTATTTTAATTTTCATTGATGTTTTCTATTAAATTTATTTTCAGAATTTTTTACTAAAAGTTTATTTCTGTTGATCTAAGGTTGAATACCACCCTTTCCAAAGACCTCAGGAGCTGGTTGATTATTGTAGGAGCAGAGATATTGTTTTTGAAGGCTACTGTCCTTTAGCCAAAGGTGAAGCACTCACCCATCCCACTGTCATTCAGCTGGCAAAGAAATATGGCAGAACTCCAGCACAGATTTGCATACGCTGGAGCATACAGGTAATGGGTGGTAATAAAAATGTGTCTTCTTTCTCAGGAAAAAGATCCAAATAGTTTGGGGTTTGTGCATCAAACCAGAATTTATACAGAAGGTATTTCTGCTTTCAGTATATTGATATTGTGTGAACTGGTGGCTGTACTGGAAATTTAGAATATAGTACATAAATCGTGCCAGTATTTAAAATATTAATTACTATAAATGATCCGGTTGTAGAGAATAATAGCCACCACTAAGAAATTACTCCAAAGTAAATGTTACAAGCAGCATTCCTCATAATTCCATTTCTGTCACTGAATATAAAGTAATAAGCAATGAAATAATGTATTAAGTTGATATAAACCATGTAGTGTGTGGGAAATCAACACAGTGTATATAACTGCAGTTGCAAATTACATGGAAAAATGTCAGTATCCTCCAGAAAATTAAATTAGAACCTCAGAAGATGTAAGGAATTTATTGTAATGGCCTGAAGATAGATAATTTTCTTAAAATCTGCAAATTTTATTGATGAAAAACATAATTATTTTCAGAATGGGATTGTCACTATTCCAAAGTCAACAAAGGCAGAACGGATAGAGGAAAACTGCAAGGTAAGATTTGGTTGTGCACTCAAGCCTGGCTAACATCCAGTAAAGAGTTTTTAATATTTTGGGTTTACTTCCCATTTTCCTTCCCAGTTTTCCTTCCCAGATACTGGGGTAACTCAGTCAGAATTGGCAAATGATGGTACCATGAAATGACCACAATGTATGAAAAAAACTATAACTCACAAATATCAGAAAAGACGTGGAGAACTAATCACTGTGTATGAGGAAAAATCCATAGAAGACCTTTTGTAGTTGATTTTTGTAATTAATAGTTCTAGTTATTACCTGTCTGGTGTTAGAATACTAATCTGTTTATGGTTACATTTTTTTTGTGATAGACACACAGGTCAAATGGAAGGAGTTTGGATGCTGTGCATAACAGTTTATGAAAGCTTTAAAACTCATTTGGGGATAGCTCCAACATAAAGACCTTCCAAGGAAATCAGTCCTGCCTGTCCTGACTCTTACCCTCCCTTCTCCTTCTACTCAATGTGCAGAAAAGGTCCCAGCATGAAGAGGCTGGAGAAAGAAAAGTGGAAATGAACGAGATTGAATGAGTATGATTCCTCCCCAGCACCTTTTTTAAAATTTTATTTTCATACCAAATGCTTTTAATTCATTACTTGCTTTGTGTCTCTGTTTCTCTAATCTGAAAGTGTTCTTTCTTTAGGGTAGGTAAAACCACAACTTATTTCCAAAAATATCATAGGGGTATGAACTGCTGTGGCAAATCTGGAAGAAACTTTGCAAGAAGACAGGAATCTTCCATCTGCTGTTTCTATCCTTCTGTGTGTGTGTGTGTGGAGGTGTGAATCCATATACATGTAATGAGAATTTCTGCTGGTGGCCATGCCTGTTTATACAGCTCCTGCCTTGACTGTTTATTCTGACATTCACACTGCCTTCTGTGGTACAAGCACAGCTGCTTGTGCTACTGTATTGGGAACCAGATCAGAGAACAAAACCAGTTAGAAAATCCTTCCTTATACTTTTATTTTCCTCAATAACATTTGAAATCCAGATTAATTTTATTTTGTACAGAGTTTACTCTATGGCACCACCAATTCATTTCACACAACTCAGGGAACGTGTTACAATCCAAACTTAAAACATTTAGGATGGAGAGAGGAAAGAACTGGCACAGTCATTGAGTATTGTTTATCACACCTCCCTTCTTTTTCTTTCCCTCGTGTTTCTGTGTTAGCCTGAGTCTCTGCCACTTCTGGTCAAGCTGGTCCTCATTAAACCCTCAGTATATCATACATAGGGTTTCTAGTTCTGGGACTGGTCTCTGGTTTAAGCTTAAAAGGCTTGAAAGAGCACTGAAATTTGACTACAAGGATCATACCAGAAACAGTGGTTGCTGGATAATGCAGGATGGGAGGAGCTCATTTGGCTACAGTTCAGGCTCCACAGAATCTTTTTACTGAGCACAGAGGAGCTCTAACAAAGAGAACAGAAGCAACTTCTTGATCATAATGTCTCAGTAGGACACCTGCTAAGAAAGCACTGACACCATAATTCACATTACAGGTATGGCCACAGGAGAAGGCAGTGGCTGTAAGAACCTGTGTTTTAAGACAGGTGATTGCTTTCAAGTTTGAATTAGTGCTGAGGCACTGTAGCACTTTTTCTGTATTTAGCTGGTTTGTGAGAATTTTGTCAAAGTAGAGTCATAGAAACGACAGACACAGCCTTTGGCTTGTTAGCTTTGTGAATGTCCTGATACCTTCTAAAATTTCTCTTTGTCTAAAGTTCTGAGAAAGAGAACTGTAACACTCTAAACTGAACATTGGGATGTCAGTGAAATACTGAGCTCATTCTTCCAAAGAGATGGCTGTCAAGGTATTCCTATACCTACCTCTGGCAGTGACAATAGAGAGTGCTGTCAAAACCAGCTTTGATACTACTCTTGTCTTGGATCCTTGCCTGAGGCCAGAGTGCTACAAAACCATCTTAACATAGTCTGCAAATAAACATGAGTCACTAAAGGAGCAAAAGACCCAATGGAGCCTGTCAGCTTGATGGAGTATTTTTCTATGACAAAATGTAAGAATTTTCCAAAGGAAAAATATATAAAAATTTGGCCTCACATTTAAATGAATCTTGGTCAGTTAAATACTAGAATATATCTGAGGTTGTTGATTCTGTCTGTGTTCATGGGGCCTCACATTTAAATGAATGTTTAAATGAATCGGTTAAATACTAGAATATATCTGAGGTTGTTGATTCTGTCTGTGTTCATGATGTTAACTATATATGCATTCCCACAGGTGTTTGATTTTACAATAGCAGAAGATGATGTTGAAATTCTGAATGGAATGCATGATGGGAGACATGTTTCCTGGGATCCAAGTTTTATTGTGTGAATCAAGGTTTGAGCTTTTCTTTGCTTTCTAGGGGATCAGTGAGTCACACCATGTAATTTTAATTCAGAGAAGGTTACAGTGAGAATCTAATCAAGATAGTGATGTCTGCTAATAATGATCAATGATTTGAAATCCTTAACATTGGCAACAGACAAAAGATATTTTTGAGGGTAGCACTTTTGTACAACCCTCAAAGAGATTTTAGATTTCCATCTCTAATGCTGTTCCTCAGTCCATTGAAGTCCATGCAAAGACTCCTATTTATACCACGCACTCTTTATATATTAAACAGCATCAGGCTGTTTAATTCAAATGAGGAGATACTCCCTGAAAAATACAGGATAAAAGTGTTAGTGTGCAATATAGGTGTTGGGTATGAAATAATTTTTCAAGTACTTTGTTAGAGAGATACAATATATGAAGAAGAAAAAGCTGGATTTAAAAAAAAAAAGTTAATGCCATTATCATAACAGTATTTATGTTGTAAATATATTGTAAATCTCCATCAAAAATACAATCTCATTTTAATACACAATATCTGAGCATCACCAAAAGAGTTTTATACATATCACAGCATTACTATGGCATTGACTCAGAGATTTCTATGCATATTAGTTACTAGCCTGTAGATAGAACAAAGTAGAAATCTTTCCAGACAAGTCCAGGTACAAATAAACTGTTCACAAGGCTGAGAGATGAGCAGCAAGTTCCATGAACCAAAAAGACATCTTTGTTATTACTTACTGGAAATGGGGGTGAGTTTTTTGTAGCTTTTTGTGAGAATTAGTTTAGATTTCATTTTGGGTTTGTTCAGGACATCCCATTAAGAGACTATACAGTTCCTCAGATTTTTGTATAAAATAGGTATCTCTATAGAGAGATTAATATGGATAAATGTAGCTCACAGATCTGTTTTGAGAAATATGCCTGCAGAATCTATTGGCTTAGTATTCAACTTGTAGTCGCATTGGCTTGATATTTTAGGAGTTCCTGTGTCTAGAAAGGTATGGAAAATCTGATTATGATTTATATTGTGTGTGGACTTCCTGAGGCAGTTTTCCCAGTGCTGTTCTGCTTTAGTCATATTGTGAAACAAAGCTCCTTAACTTTTTATCAAGAAGTGGCTTACAGCAATCACATATTCTAGCCTGCATTGTTTGTCCTCAAAGTGTAGAGCTTCTATACAGCTTGGCTAAAATCCAGACAAATTTACCTTTTAGATAACAACTCCTCAGAAGTATTGTCTAGTTTTTTTCTGGTAAACTTGTCCACAAAAATTTGTCTAGATTTGCCTTTAGAATAATTTCTATGAAAAGCAAGGTATTTTATGAAGTGCTGCTCACTAATCCCTGCACAGTGTGGTGTTCTGAGAAATATACACAATCTCCAGAGCAAGGTTATTTTCTAGTTTCAAGCATGGCCTGCAGTCTGGGGGGCTCCAATACCTGGGAATGCCACTGTAGGTGTCACAGAACTGCCCTGTACCTGGCTCTGCTGTGTGATGAGGGGTTCAATAGTTCCAGATAGTAAGGCTCATTTATAAAACTAATGTAATTTTAGGTATTTCTTTTAGCTTTTGCATAAAACTGTGGCAATGACTAAATGAAAATTGGAAAGATTGTCCAGAAATAAACCTTTCTACCAGTGGCTCTCAGCTAATACTGCTTTTGAAAAGAACAATGAAGCAGTATGAAAAAAAAATTGAACTGTGCTGTTGAGGGACTCCTTCCTTCACAGTGTGTCTGAATTAGTGAAACAAGGACTAGAAGTGAGTCATATGCCTGATATTTCCTAAATACGGCTTTCGGCAGTGATGACTTCCTAAGAATTTACAAAACACAGGTTGGAGTTTCACCTCTAGTTCTCTCTGAAGGAACAGACATCACATCCACATACTGCTTAAAACATAATGATGTGTCAAAGGAACCAAATCTTTATATAGGCTAGCAAATTCTAGCTCCAGGGTTACCAGAACAGTGTCAGTTAGGATTACATGGCTAGAGCTCTATGCTTAGAACACCTTTGGGTTTTTACACTTGATTCTGACTGATCACCTCCCTGTTCTGAGCTAATTGGAATTAAACCAGATTTTCTTGCCCCACATAGGAGAATGTGTGAGAATGGCTGTGAGTTCGTTAATATATTTCAGTGCTCCTTTTGTCAGAGATTTTACAATGTTTTTGGTGTCTGCACCTGCATTTGTGAAGAGGGCAAGCCACCATTTTCTCAGGCTAGGTCATGGTATCCTAGCAGTTCAGTGAGTAATGAGAGGAATTATTAGGAATAGTATTACTAAAAAAGCATTCTTCTTAAGGAGTAGCTATGGCAAGTTACAGTTTTAATCTGATACTTTTCTAATTACATTCAGGGTGAATTCTTGTTGGTTCAGGAGTTTTTTCTGTGGTGGGGTTTTTTGTTTATTATTTTGTAATCTTTCCTAGAATTTCCATTGCTGCCAATTAGTGCCTTTAGAACTACAGAAGAGTTTAATTTTAGCTATGTACTAAGTGAGGTGTAATTTGAGACGACACAAGATTTTAAGTGCTGGGACTCAGCTGACCCAAGCTATCTTTCTCCCAGGTGTGATGAGCAGTTTTGCACATTGTGCCTCACTAATAGCCATTGTTTTCTGTTAGAAGCTATAATTGCCCAAGAGACTGAAACCCTGTTATCTCCTGTGGCCTTGGGATAGATCACTGAAGCCTCTTCCTTTGACTGTGGTATTCAAAAGTTTTGCATCATGTTTATTAATTTAGAATCATTGAGCAACTCCTCTTTTACTTTTGGTGAGGTTGCAGAAGGAAAGACAGACTTGGTGGATTCATGTTTTATGCCCCTATCTACAACTACATTGGCATTACTCTGGCAGTAATAATTTTCTTCTTAAGCAAAGGCTGCTTAAGAGTAAGTCCACATCACCACATCTAAATGAACCTTTCTAAAGTACTTCCAACATTGGTCAAAGACAACTAATAAGAAATTGACAAGTGAACACTAATGAGATTTAGGAATAGCAGAGAGGAGTAATTTATTACAAGAAACACAGAAGATCAAAAGGGTATAAAGTGCTGGACATACAAGCCCAGAAAGTTTTTCTGTTTTTTATTTATTCTTTGGTCAGTTAGCCTGGAGGTGCTCATTTTATAAGATTTTGCTTTGTTTTAAACTCAGAATTTATCCCTCAAGTGAATTCTTGGAATTATATGCATATTCTTCCCTAGGGTTGAAATTCTTCCTCCTGTTCTTATTTCTGTAAAACAAACTTCCCCTGGAGAGAAAATTTGTTCACCTTTCTACAGTGACCCTTTTCAGGATGCATCAATGCATCCATTTAATCTTTGTAACCCATCACCTTGCCAGTAGGATCAGGGAATACACCAGAAAACTGAAGGCACTTTTTCTTCCCTATCATTATGTCATTTATGGCAGTGACTGATTGGGACACTCCTTTTCAGTTGAGATAAACCATTACTTAAAATAAGATGCAATTTATCAGTGCTATCTACCTAAATGCAGTCAGCTGCCTGTGGAAGAGCTCTGTGACTCCTAATGAAAGGAAACTCTTGAAACAAATAAGGAAAAGAAAAATATAAACTAAAAGTCAGTGGAAAGGGTGAGGCCATTTTCTGTGCAGCCAAGTAGCTTCCTGCCTGACTCTGAGTAACTCCCTCTCCTATTTTTCTTGCTTCTTTCTGGTTTTCATCTCTTATATTATTGTAGATGAAGGCACCTAAGAATGTTTCATAGGAAAATAATGGAAATGGGTTTTTAAACTGAATATTCAGCAATTTTTTTATAATCAGGCTGCAGAAGTGTTCCTATCACGCCTGTCCCCCCAACATGACTTCCAAGGCATTATTTTATGAGTAGCATGTGTAATACTGGTAAGTTCACAAATCTACCAGACCAAGCAGACTGCGTAATATTCACACCTCTGTGGTTAACCCATGCTTTTGAAAATGGGGGTAAAGGTGGTGTAGCTCTTGCTGCTACTGATTGAATCCAAGGCAGTTAACTCTTTCCACCTTGCCACACCACTCCCAAAGCTTTGAAGCTCACCTGTCCCTATTGGGCATTGGGTAAAAATAACAGATGAGCCAACCTTCTGATAAATTTTTGTGTTGCTGTGTTGGGAGACTTTTTCTGTACCTAGTTTTTGACCTTTTTGCAGCCTCCAGTAAGATGTGTACACACTGGAAAGAAGGTGCTGAGTGCCCGGCCTGTGTCCCGGTGCTGTGCCGTGTGTCCCTCTGCAGGGTGAGGCCGGAGCTGTGGATGTGCTGCTCCGACGGGCCCGGCAGGGACCGGCTGCAGCAGAGCTCTCTGTGCCCAGGTCCTGTGTGTCATCCTGGCCAGCCACTGCCCTTTGAGAAACCTTCTGTAGCTGAACTTCTAGTAGGAAGTTCAAGAGTATATTAGCAGTTTTATCATCCTTTAAGGGTTGCTCCATATATTAAAGTGTGTTAGACTTTTGGGTACAATGATATCCATGCAAACTATTGCATGTCACTTTCTCAACTACTTCAGTTCTTTCCCTTCAGACTTGAGCTTTTCCTAATAATATATTCAGTTTAGTGGGCTAAAAATAAAGTGCAGATTCTCACAAAAATGAATATAGTAAACTTTTTACAATTGAATTTTTAAACCTTTTCCTAATAATATATTTATTCACCTTAGTGGGCCAAAAATAAAGTGCAGATTCTCACAAAAATGAATATAGTAAACTTTTACAATTGCCTTTTTAAACAACAAAGGCCATTTAATTAATATTATTTATCAATATCAATAACAGAAAACCAGACCATCTAAGTTATAGAATACTAATACTGAAAAAATATGTGTTCTTTAATCTTTGCAATATTCTTGTGACATTTTTTTTTTCTCCATACCAGGTTTTTGATTCTAATCTGAGGAAAGAAGATATGGAATTTTGGAACACTGTGAATATCAACAGAAAATTAATTCATCAAACCTATTCCCTGTGGAAAGAATAATTTAAAACCAGATTATTCTAAACTGGAAAAGTGATGTAACTGAAACATTAATTAATTTTAAACTGAACAATAAATCTGAATTGTTTTCTTAGGTACTCAGTATACTCAAGAATCAGTATAAATGGTTTGTAGTTACTCTTATGTTAACAAATTAATAAAATAATTTAATTTACTCTTTGTAACTTTCTTACAGATACAGAAATACTTTCAGTGTCTTCTTTGCTCTCTTAGAACTTTCTGGTATAGTCTCCCAGTATGGGTTGATTTATCTCACAATATTATAATTTTCTTCTGCCTGCATGTACTTAATTTAAGGTGTCATTTGAACCCATTTGAACACATTAATTAGGCGTATTTTTTTCCTTACAGATTTTGAAAAGTATCAATTACTTGAAGGCACATAAGAGCATGCTACAATGCCTGTAAATCTTGACAAATGATTCAAAATATGGAATATTTGTTCAGAGATTGCAGCAGAATAACGAATCCAACTTTTTTATTTCTTCTAGTCGTGAGAATTTTGGGGGATTCTGCAGGCCATTCTTGATACTTTCTTGGTGACCAAACCTGCACTCTGGTACTGCTTCACAGATCTGTCATGACCCAGCACTTCAGAGAGGAATGGCTCACTTTGTGACCTAAGTTGCATCAGGATGAATAAAAGTAGTTTTAGCTTATATGGACAAAGACTTTTGAAAAGAAGAATGACGTGTTGGAGAAAAATCCTTTGCTAATCTCTCTTGCAGGGATTGTCACTATCTTTTCAAGATGGATAGTGTTCAGACACTCCTCTGATGCAATTGTGAGTTGTCCAACTGCACTGGGAGAGTTGGGTCTGGTGGTGTCAGAGGCCACCAGTCTTTTGATATGCAGGCATTGGGTGGACCCCAGCTTACAGCTTCTTTTCTGACAAGATCAAAGGATTTTCCTGCAAGGAAATTGCTCTGTGACTAGCCAGGTTTCTGCAATCCCTACCACACTAAGCTCTCACTGGAAGTTCCACAAGAACTTTGGCTGTCACACACAGTCAGTATTAGTTTGTTGTTGTTCATGACATTCCATAGAATATGAGTTTCTGCTCATCCTGAAAACTACCTGAGAGCATATCAGGACCCCTGTGAAAAATGTGTCTGTCTCTCTATGCTAGTAGACATGGTGCAGAACATTTTTAACCAGTTTAGCCAGGTGAGGTATCTGTTATGTGTCTGTTTGGTGTCCTGATGTGCGCAGCCTTCCTGCTGGCATTTGACAGAGACCTGCATTCTGGTTATTTCTGAAATGTATGAATAACATTGTGTTGTTCTTTCTCCTTATTCTGACCATAGGCAGTTCCAGAATTGAGTTCTCAAAGGAGCCATGCATACACTGGATTTCTGTAGTGGAAGTGGACAAGGCAGTTGGAGAGGTACTGAGAAGAGTTCTCATTCTGTTGATGGCTTGTTCTCAGGGTGAGGCTGGAGTATAACCCTGGTGTAAACCCCCTTGCTAAACACCAGCAACTACAGTTTTGGTAGAGATGGCTGAACCAACCTGAGTCCTGTTTGTGTTTCAGCCCTTGTAAGCAGGTTAGAACCTGTGCAGTTGAACTATGTTAACCTATCTTCTCTGAGGGTTTAGACAGCCTTCAGTGCAAATCCAGCTGATCTGGCTCCATTTGAAGAAGCTATATTTCAGTTTCCTCACTGCCAAGATGTCAAGAAGGCTGTAATGTGTGTGGTCATCTAAGTTTATTGATGCTTTTTGTGATACAAGTACCCACATTTTAGAATGGAACTGAAAATACCTGCATATTTTGCCCAGTGCTGCACCTGGGTTGGGGCAACTCCCTGTATCACTGTAGGCTGAGAGAGGCTGAGGTGAAGTACTTGGGGGTGCTGGTGAATAAGAGGCTGGACATGACCCTGCAGTGTGAGTTTGCAGCCCAGAAAGACAATTGTATGCTAGGCTGCACCATAAGGAGTGTGGGCAGCAGGTCAAGGGAGGGGATTCTGTTCCTCTGCTCCTCTCTGGCCAGACCCCACCTGCAGTGCTGTGTCCAGCTCTGGGGTTCTCAGCACAGGAAAGACATGGACCAGACATGGTCAGGGCAGGTCTGGAGGAAAGATACAAATAATGATCACAGGGCTGGAGCACCTCTTACGAGGAAAGGCTGAGAGAGCTGGGTTTGTTCAGTCTGGAGAAGAGAAGGCTCTGGGGTTACTTTCTTGTGGTGCTTAAGTATATAAAGGGGGCCCTACAGGAAAGCTGGGAAGGGACTTTTTACAAGAGCATGTAGTGTCAGGACAAGAGAATGGTTTCAAACTGAAAGACAGTGGGCTGAGTTTCAATATTGATAAGAATTTCTTTGCTGTGAGGGGGGTGAGGCCCTGGAGCAGGTTGCCCACAGAAAGGGGGGATGTGCCCATCACTGGAAGTGTTCAAGGCTAGGTTGGATGGGGCTTTGAGCATCCTGGTCTAGTGGGAGGTGCCCCTACCCATGCTAATGGAATAGGAAGTGGGTGATCTTTAAGGTCCATTCCAACCCAAACCATTCTATGGTTCTGTGATTTTACACAGCCTCTGACAATTAATTTGCTGGATGTCACATCTCTGAGCTGGTATCCTGTCAGCTGGTAACCAATAGCCTGGACATGAAAGCTTGCACATCTGACTAATGAAACCCTGAATCATTCTATCCTTTAATTAAAGCATGTTCCTTTAATATGTTCCTCTTACTTAAAATTATGTGAGAATTATTTTCTAGAAGAAAATGCCTGATGAATGCACTTGTATTTAGTAGAAAATACTTATTAGATAAATAAGGGGGAAAGCTTGAAATATCTGGGCTATGTTGGGCAGTTGCAGGGGATACATATGTCAACCTCAAGAATGATTTATCTCATGTGCCTTTTCTGACAGTTGTGACTTAACGGCTGTATTTTCCTCCAGCCTCTCAGGAGGCTAAATATCTTTTCAAGTTTCTAGCTTTGTGGTAGAAGAGTTTGCCAGTGTAATTTATCTGAGTCATTCTGGGAGAGGTGTGGAGCAATTGAAGTGTGACTATTTGCATAAATAAGAGAGGGACCCTCTTCCTGAGGGTGGAATACTTGTACTTCTTTCAGAGGAAAGCTGCTTCCCCATAACAACTGCTACAGCCAATTGACAGGCAAAATGCTTTAAACTGAAAGACCCAATATATTGTGCTTTGGCCTATTGTGATATTATTTTACATTTCAGTTTGGAGTTATGAAGAGCAGAGCAAGGAAGGAAGAGGAAATTTTCTGCAGTAAGTGCAACGGTAGAATACACCAGAGCTGGCATTTTACATACACCAAACGTGTGTTTTTTCTTTTTAAAGGAATATACAATGTTACAGTGGTAACAATGTTAAGTAGTTGCCATTGCCAATTTTGTTTCTGAAAAAATCCATTAAAAACTTTTCTTGATACTTTGAAACATAGTTGTTTTACAGCATCGTCTGAACACCTAGAGGTTAGTTTTGGGGTTTTTAGGTTTTGGGGGGATTTTTGCATTTTGGTTTTTTGATTTTGTTTGTTGGTTGTTTGTTTGGGTTTTTTTTCGTGTGGAAACACCAGCACCTGGTGCTGTTTGACAGTGGCATGAACTGAGTTTGTCCCCCATGGGCCCGTTCTGGCTCCTGCCCCGCAGAGCGCAGCCTGGCACCATCCTCGCCCTGCCGGGCTGCTGCCTCCCCGGGGAGCCGCTGGTGAGTCACTCTGCAGGCCTGAGTGCGGGTGACTGCCACCGGGCCTGCCACGGCAAAAACACACCTTGGCTGCACTGAGAAAATGGAAGAGCTTCTTCCAGGTGTTTCCTTAGACATGACTTACACTGTCCTCTAAGAGGGAGAACGGAGGTGGCGTACAGGATGCTGCCTTTGGCCATAGCCTTTCTGTGCCCACTCGGGGGGCGAGAAAGCCGGGCGGGCGGGAAGCTGCCCCCGGCACCCCGCGAGGGGCAGGAGCCGTGCTCGGAGCCGGGCCGTGCCAACACCTCCTTCCCCGGAATGCCGGGTGCGCCCGGTGGCGGGAGGCGGCGGCTCCCAGGTCACGGACGGCTGGAGCCCAGCCGCGGCGTCCCCTCCCCGCGTCCCCCGGCCGGCACGGCGAGGGGGTCCCGCGGGGGAGCTCTTCGCCCCACGCCTGCCCGTGCCGCCCG